TTTCTGTAATGAATGATTATGGAAACAAGAATGAAAAATGCCTTTGTCTTGTTTAGGCAAACAGATTACCATATGTTTTGCTCCATAAGATGCACCTAGATTTTAGAGGTGGAAAACAGGAAAAGAAATATTCTGAACCAATGGAGATGACCAGAGACTGCGGACATAGTACAGGAGATGACCAGAGACTGCGGATATAGTACAGGAGATGACCAGAGACTGCAGACACGGTACAGGAGATGACCAGAGACTGCGGACATAGTACAGAAGATGACCAGAGACTGTGGACACAGTACAGGAGATGACCAGAGACTGCGGACACAGTACAGGAGATGACCGGAGACTGCGGACACAGTACAGGAGATGACCAGAGACTGCAGACACGGTACAGGAGATGACCAGAGACTGCGGACACGGTACAGGAGATGACCAGAGACTGCGGACATAGTACAGGAGATGACCGGAGACTGCGGACACAGTACAGGAGATGACCAGAGACTGCAGACACGGTACAGGAGATGACCAGAGACTGCGGACACGGTACAGGAGATGACCAGAGACTGTGGACACAGTACAGGAGATGACCAGAGACTGCGGACACGGTACAGGGGATGACCAGAGACTGCAGACACGGTACAGGAGATGACCAGAGACTGCGGACACGGTACAGGGGATGACCAGAGACTGCAGACACGGTACAGGAGATGACCAGAGACTGCGGACACGGTACAGGAGATGACCAGAGACTGCGGACACGGTACAGGAGATGACCAGAGACTGCGGACACGGTACAGGAGATGACCAGAGACTGCGGACACGGTACAGGAGATGACCAGAGACTGCGGACACGGTACAGGAGATGACCAGAGACTGCGGACACGGTACAGGAGATGACCAGAGACTGCGGACACGGTACAGGGGATGACCAGAGACTGCATAGTACAGGAGGTGACTAGAGACTGCAGACTTTTGGGGAGTGCAGGGGGGAGGCAACGGGTACCTGAATTTGACAGGTACCCGCTCTCACTTCCGCAGAGTTTTCCCCCCTCCCTCCCTGTAATCTTCTAGGACACGTGACAGGTCCCAGAAGATTACAGGGCCATTTGCAAAGCGTGGTGCTTCTCGCCCATGCGCGCAGCGGGCACCCGGCTTTGAAGCCGAAAGCTGGACCGAGGAACAGGTAGGACCGCTGGAGGTCTGCAGAGAAGAGCCGAATGTCTGGCCTGGTATTCTAACACTGGGGGAAGACCAGCCCGGCCGCTCCATATTCGCTCCATAAGACGCACAGACATTTCCCCCATTTTTTTTGGGGGGGGGGGGGGAAGTGCTTCTTATGGAGTGAAAAATACGGTACTTTTGACTGGCATTGTAAACAAGATAAATCTAGTTGTTCTGGTTCACATCTATTCGTATCCAAAGCAAAATCTGTAAACTGTAGTTGATGATATAACAAACAGTATTACTAACTGGCAGTCCTAAGACTGTAACTGGAACTAATATTTGTTCTTTCCCAGCTGTGGGAATCATTGACGTACCATAACATTCTTGCTGATCCTACCCACTTATTTACCCAGAAATCTGTAGGATTTTTTGCAAATACATATTCATTAGATAAACTTTGCAAAATGCTTAGAGGAGTTATTCCACTTTGGAATGATTGTGCAATTATTTTAAAACTGGTAGAATAGTCTGTCTGTATCTCTAGACATGTCCTGGCCATGTGGGAATGTTGCTCTTTGTCCATAAAATTTAAAGTAACATCTTGTAAATGGACTGCCGATGGGCCTATAACCGTAGCGGTCTTCCCTAACATATTTTCTAACATTTGATTTAAATTCCTTTGAACTTTAATATTTTCACTTCCCACTAAGCCTGCAGTTTCTAGATCAGACTTTAATGTATTAATATCCATACCAGGGGCGGACTGACAACTCATGGGGCCCCCGGGCAATAGGGGATCATGGGGCCCCTGTGTCCTCACCCACACCCAAAAAAGCCTATGAAAAAGGTACCAGGGGCATCTCATGGGGCCCCCTACTGACCCAGGGCCCTCGGGCAGTACCCGAGTTCCCAAATGGTCAGTCCGCCCCTGATCCATACTAATATCACCCAAACCGTACTCTGCACTCCTCGCACGACCTCCTGCTCTCTAGCTCCCTTGTCTCCTCCTCCCATGCTCATTTCCAGGACTTCTCCAGAGCTTCCCCCATCCTCTGGAACTCTCTACCCCAATTTATCAGACTATCACCTACTCTGCTCACTTTTAGGCAATCTCTGAAATCCTCTCTCTTCAGGGAAGCCTATCCTGCCCTCGGCGAATAATGGAATCTTCTACTCCTCCTATCAGTCCATCCGCCACAGGTATTACCTTTTGTACCACTAGCCCCTCCCTCTTAGATTGTAAGCTCCCAGGATCAGGCCCTCCTATCCCTCTTGTATTGAACTGTATTATTGCTGTATTGTCTCCCGTTATATTGTAAAGTGCTGAGCAAACTGTTGGCGCCATAAATCCTGTATAATAATAATAATAATACTATACTTCCATAGTACCAACTCCTCCAAGAATTCCTTCTACGATACCTCGTTTATTACTGTTATTATTTTTATTATCAGTTCCAAACCATTTATTCATACCCAATTCATTGTTAATTAAATATTCTTGACATTGAGGATACTTTGATGAAATTGTTAATGTTCAGTTTCCAAAATATAAATCACAAAATGTCCTTCTCTCAGGAGATGTCTGGATTGGAAATGGTTGATTTGGAAGGGACTAGCACAGTGATGGCGAACCTATGGCATGCGTGCCAGAGCTGGCACGCAGAGCCATCTCAGTGGGCACGCCAGGAAGAAGAAGAAGATGAGCGCACACAGACCACGCACACTGGTCGGCCATCCAGATCTCGTCCACACTGGACCCCCATCAAACTACATCTCCCACATGTCTCTGGGGCCAGGGTGGGTGTGGACGAGAGGAAACGGCTCCTATGCGGATCTGGCACCAGGGGTGATGTAGCCGGGGATGGGCGTGGAAGAGAGGAAGAAGCTCCCACACTGCTCCCGGGCCAGGGGCGACGTGTTCAGCGTGGATGGGAATGAGCTGCTGGGTTGGAAGCCACACCGACACTGCCAGAGGTGAGATTAACTGCTTGCAGTGTCATCCATCAGTGCCCAGAAGTGTCATCCATCAGTGCCCAGCAGTGTCGCCTGTCAGTGCTGCCCAGCAGTGCCACCTGTCAGTGCTGCCCAGCAGTGCCACCTGTCAGTGTCCAGCAGTGTCACCCATCAGTGCTGCCCATCAGCGCCACCCATCAATGATGCCCAGCAGTGCCACCGATCAGTGCCATCTGTCAGTGCCTCCAGTTGGTGCTATCAGTCAGTGCCGCTTATCAGTGCCCATCATTGCTGCATATCAGTGCATCATCAGTGCCTCCTCATCAATGCCCACCAGTGCCGCCTCATCAGTGCTACCTATCTGTGCCGCCTCATCAATGCCCATCAGTGCTGCCTATTAGTGCAGCCTCACCAACGCACATCAAAGAAGAAATATTACCTGTTTGCAAAATTTTATAATAGAAGCAAAGAAAACCTTTTATGTTTTTAATTTTTTGCTCTTTTTTCATTTATAGTGCAAAAAATAAAACACCCAGTGGTGATTAAATACCACCAAAAAAAGCTCTATTTGTGTGAAAAAATGAGTGTTGCATGACCGCACAATTGTCATTGTCAAGTGCAACAGCACTGAAAGCTGAAAATTGGTCTGGGCAGGAAGGGGGTAGAAGTGCCCGGTAGGCAAGTGGTTAATTGCAGTGTTGGCACTTTGAAATAAAAAAGTTGGTTTTGTGTTGCAGTTTTGGGCACTCGGGCTCAAAAAGGTTCGCCATCACTGGACTAGCAGAACTACATTTTTCATTACTGCACTTAGTTTTCTCAGGAGATGACATTTAAACATTTGCAGTATTACATTTCATAGGATTATTTTCTAATGATATGCAATACTCATATACAGGGGCGGACTGACAACTCATGGGGCCCCCAGGCAATAGGGGATCATGGGGCCCCTGTGTCCTTGCCTACACTCAAAGCACACCCAAAAAAAGCCTATAAAAGGTACCAGGGGCATTTCATGGGGCCCCCTAGTGACCCTGGGCCCTCGGGCAGTGCCCGAGTGCTCGAATTGTCAGTCCGCCCCTGATCATATATACCTGTGTCATTAGGATTTGGACTAATGTGATGATAAAGTTATTATTTGTCCAATCTATATTTCCAAGACTACTCTTGCGAATTATATTAGTTGAGCTATGGAAAAGACTACCCAAGAATTCACCATTATCTTCCAGGTTAATAAAGAATTTTGAGGTAAGTGTATTTGTGTAGTACATATCAAAGTTAAATTATCCTTTCTTTCAGTAATTTCCACTTCCATTCCGGACACTTTCACCCCCTTCCTGTCCAGGCCAATTTTCAACTTTCAGTGTTATCACACTTTGAATGACAATTGCGCGGTCATGCAACACTGTACCCATATGAATTTTTTTTGCATTTTTTTGAGACCGATAAAGCTTTATTTTGGTCATATTTTATCACCACTGGGATGCTTATTTTTTTTGCTATATAAATGAAAAATTCCACAAATTTTGAAAAAAAAAAAAAAAAAAGTGTTTTTTCTTATAAAATTTTGCAAATAAATAGTATTTCATCGTAAATCTTGGCCAAAATGTATTCTGTTATCTGTTTAGTAAAAAAAAAAATAACTCAAATTAGTTTATAATCAAAAATTATAATTTTTAAACATTTTTTTTTTTACTTTTTTTATATTATTTGTTTTTTTTCACATACTGTCACTCTAGCAGTACAGTGTCACCATGGTGACACTGTACTACTTGTGGGGGGTGATGAAGATTTTTTTTAATTTGCACTGATTGCTTTTACACCCATAAAGGCTGTAAAAGCAATCATTTCTCCTTCTCTCTGGCTGCATTCTTGCAGCCATTGAGAACTACTGAGTGAGCTGTGATTGGTCACAGCTTGTCACATGGTACAAGGCTGTTGTGAATAGTCCTGTACCATGTGACCTCTGTGATCATTCACACATTTCACACGTAGTAAGCAATGATGTCACAAGTGACATCTTGCTTACTACTCTGCATGTGATCACTGATTGGCCAATCAGTGATCACATGATTGGGACCTCGCACAGCGGGCACCGGATCGCGGTGCTGCGCGCTCCCAGGAAGCATACACAAGCAGGGTGCGGGGAGGCCGTTTATAAGCGGCCACCCGACCCTGCACTGTCACAGTCCGGCCATTTATATACAACGGCCGGACAGAAAGTGGTTAAGAGCTTGTGTAGATACTTTTATATCTGGAATAATCAAATCTACAACTGTAATAGTCTCTCTCCCTTTAACGTGAGCTAAACCTCTTGTTGTTTGAAAAGACCATACTCTAATTACATCTCCTTTTTCATCTCCAATAATTTTTAAGTGTTCAGGATCCATAAACTGTAATTAATATTGGGTCAAACACCAAATATCTGTTCTGGATCCCCCTACAGAAGAAGAACCTACTCTCTCTCGTTGCATCACCGGTCCAAATTGTAGACTCATTTCCTTTTAAAACTATAGACCAGAGTGACTCTCCCAGGGGCAGGAGTCTTATTTCAGATTTGTATCACCAATTTTTGGTTAGTTCCTTTCCCTCACCCCCTCTTTATAGACAGAAATGGGAGGCTGATAGTGGTATCACCTTTTCGGATGAGGATTGGGATTCCATGGTGGATAACATGCGTAAGAGCTCTAGATCTCTTTCTGTCCGTGAGACAGCCCTCAAAGTATTAACCAGATGATATTATACCCCATCTAGGCTACACGTCCTGTATCCAGGGACGTCCCACCTATGTTTCCGAGGCTGTGGCCTTGCCGGTACCCTAGTAGTTACATTTTGGGCCTGCCCAGGCCTCTCCTTGGTGTGGCGCAAGATCTCTGAGGAGGCTTCTACACTGGCGGGGGCCTGGGTGCATCTGTCTATGCAGTCCTGCCTATTGGGAGCTCATATCTCAGTCGTTCAGACTGAGGTTATGAGGCTAATCCATACCATTTGTATATATCTACCCTATGGGCTATCGCCCTACACTGGAAATCTCTCACAGTACCATTGGCCACTGTTCTGCATAGAGTTGATGCTGTGATGCTTATGGAAAGAATTCATTATACTTTATTGGATAAGATGCAATCATTTGATAGAAAATGGGAAATTTGGAGAACTCAGACATTTACTATATGACTAAGGAACACCCATGTTTGGATTGATTGAATTACTTTGTTGGTAGATGTATAACTCTGCCTACCTCTTTACTTACATTGCTCATGTACTTAACCTCCTTGGCGGTCTGATTCTTTCCGATTTTTTTGTGCTGAAAACGGTACATTTTTTTGCATGGAAATATGTAGTTTTTTTATTGTAGGCTGTAATTTTTAGGAATAACTCACTGAAATCTGTCCGAACAAGAGTCTAGTAAACATCCCGGGTATGATAAAATTTGAAACACGAAATCATAAATTATAATTGAATAAATAATCATAAAAAATAATATAATAATAATAAATTTAATTCAATAATATAATCAAACCAAAAACACTGAAATTTGAAATACAGAGGAAAATTCGCACATCACTGAGGAAAGTCGCAAAATCGTTTTCAGTGTCTGATGAGGAATTTCCCCCACGAATCATTATCACTCAATTCTGCAAGTGGTTCTGATTTACTATCGCTGGTCTAAAACCGCTTTTGAGGTAAAGGGACGCTTTTTGGACGCCATGGACGTTTCTCAGTTTCCAGGCAGAAAGAACATTCAAAATTCAGGCAGGGCGCAGGACAAAGCAGTAGGGACAAAATATATGTGAAATGCATTGGAACAGCAATGACAGCAAAAATGAAATTTTTAAAAAATTTCCTGCTGGTTCCAGTGCCCGTACGTCCCGACGTCACAGGGACCGGAACACGGAAGCCGGATGCCGACATCGGCCGGAGGAGATGGCCGGGGACGCTGCAGGGGACACATCGCGGGAGCGAAGGACAAGGTAAGTGCTGCAGGGACCCCCAGAGCAACGCCGCATGGTAAGCCCGAGTGTAGCTCGGGGGGGGGGGTTACCGCTTTTGGTACTGAAATTTTACCCCGAGCTACACTCGGGAATACCGCTAAGGAGGTTAAGTTCTTTTCTCTCTTTTCTCTTTCTTTACTCTACATGATTGTACCTTTTGAAATGTACACTTCAGCTGTGCCTTGTTTCTGTTTAAGCTGTAATGTCATTTTACAGTATATTTCTTGAAAAATAAAATTGTTTGTAAACAAAAAACAAACAAACTATGGACCAAAATCCCATATCAGTTAAATTACATTGATATGTACCAGTTTTTGATTATGTACATATGATCCTTGCATTTTTGTAAACTTTGTTTCGTATTCTATTCTAGCTTGTATTTCAAAAGAGTTATTATGAAAAAATACAGTTCCATACAAGTAGCTCCAAAACCTCTACAAGCAAGTCCATACAAGTCTACGGCTGTGTCAGTATCACTGTTTCTTGGAAAACGTCTCTTGGTTTCTGGATAGCAAGTCTTTTATGTAGAGTCTCAGACTTGTTCTTCTCTGCTGGAAAAAGTCATGTAAGTTTTTATGAATAAAAATGTGATTAATAAAAAAAGGAGTCCTGTGATGATGAATTTTCTCCCTTTAACCACTTGCATTCCTGAGGATTTACCCCCCTTAATGACCAGGCCTCTTTTTGCTACTCGGCGCTGCACTAATTCAACTGATAATTGCGCGGTCATGCAATGCTGCACCCAAACGAAATTTACGCCCTTTTTTTCACACAAATAGAGCTTTCTTTCGGTGGTATTTGATCATCTGTGCGCTTTTTATTTTTCACGCTATAAAACATAAAAAGGCCAAAAATTTTGAAGAAAAACAATATTTTTTACTTTCAGCTATAAAAAATATATAGTAAACTCAAAGTTGGTTATAAATTTAGGCCAAAATGTATTTTGCTCCATGTTTTTGGTAAAAAAAAATCCCAATAAGTGTATATTGATTGCTTTGTGTGGAAGTTATAGCGTCTACAAACTATGGTATAGATACTGCAATTTACGCCATTTTTCTGCTATACAGCGCTGCGCTAGTTTAACGGACAATTGCGCGGTCATGCAATACGGTACATAAATGAAATTTACATCCTTTTTTTCCCCACAAATTGAGCTTTCTTTCGGTGGTATTTGATCGCCTGTGCGGTTTTTATTTTTTGCGCTATAAAAAAAAGGCTGACAATTTTGAGGAAAAAAAAAAAAACCAATATTTTGGACTTTTTGCTATAAAACATGTCCAGTAAAAAAAAATGCAAAAATCAAATTTAGTCATAAATTTCTGCCAAAATGCATTCTGCTCCATGTCTTTGCTAAAACAAACCCCAATACGTGTAAATTAATTGGTTTACGTGAAAGTTATAGCGTTTACAAATGGCGGGAAGGATACTGGGATTTTTAGTTTTTTTTTATACTAATAATGGCGGCGATCAGCGAATTATGGCAGCGATCAGGGACTTATGGCAGCGACCAGCGACTTATGGCAGGACTGCGGGAATGCGGCGGACATTCTGACATTGGGGGGTACTGACTTGGGGTCACTGACATCCCCAAAAACACTAATACAGTGATCAGTGCAAAAAACACTGACACTGTACTAATGGCAATGGGGAGGAAGGGGTTAACTTTATTTAGCAGGGAAGGGTTATAGGAGTGAGGGGAGTGTTTTACTAGGGGGCGGGGTGTGTACTGGGCGGGACAAGGCTGATCGAGAAAGAGAAACTCTTCTTTCTCGATCAGCTCATCCTCAAGCTGACAGGGAAGTGACAGACAGCACAGCTACTGCAGCTGTGCTCTCTGTCACTGTTTGCCGCCGATCGCCGGAACATAGCCGCTAACGAGCGGCTGTGACCCGGCGACTGACATCTGCGGCGGTGATCCGTGGGACAAATAGGGCTGCGGCTCCTCGCGCGCACCCCCTATTTGTTTACAAAGCACACGTCTTAAAACGTGGTTTTGCCTGCGAGTGCCGCCCTGCCGCCGTATATGTACAGTGGCTGGGCGGCATGCGGTTAATGTTCTTTCTTTCTTTCCGATGTTATCAATATTTCTTCTTGGAGTTTAATGTATGTGAGAACCTCCTGCGCTCCTACCTAAAGCCTAAAATCACTATAACTAATGAAGCTGCCAACATCCAATCATATACCTAATGATCTATGAGCAAATATCAAAATAAATTATGTAGCGCTAATGACCGAACTGCATATATAAAAAAAAAACGCACATATGAAGTAAAAGATATATATCAAACTTCTATGAACAAAAATAATAAATAAAAGAATATATGTGACATATGGCAAGGTACATATCAAGACTATATCTCATAGGCTATATGCTGTGAGATCTAAATATACAGCATGATCTCTCAATGATCAAGAACAAGTGAAAAAGAATAACGTGAAAAACCAATATGTGAAGAACAAAGTGAACTCAATAACCACACAAATGTGTGTGTAGATTGATCCTAATGGGATCTATAGGTGGTGTAAATGATCCAAAATAGTCCAATTGGGACTAGTGCATATAATGTGCCCAAAATGAGCCTAACTGGATCTAACGGTGATGGTAAAATTATCAAAAAAGTCCAAATGGGACTAGTATATCCAGTGTACCCAAATTGGGACAATCAAAAACGCATGTATTCACATACGAAATAAACAAAACCAAATAACTATACGCAAAAAACAGTGTCAGCAAACAACATACACATAACCTCATGCGTAATAGTGCATACAAAATGTCACATGACATGAATAACATATACAATCCAGAAAAAACGCATGTCACTCAAATGCTAATATGCAGATGGATAAAAGTCCAGAATGGTGTAAAAACACCTATTTATTCAAAAATGACAGACACCCGTGAAAGTGGGCGATAGGTGTGTATAATGACAGGAAGGTATCTACAAATGGCTGTAATGCACACTCACTTCCTTGCCTCGACCTGCAAAGGGCCAAAACACTTTTTGGATCACTATACTGGATCCTCCATGCATGAGACTCCTCTGGGATCATGTCCCTCTCCCTGTAGTGGTCTC